TGAAGACAATTTTCATGGCCACTTTTTTTTTTTTTTTAACTGTGATTCTACAGTAGACACCGTGGTATGGGATCCAGACACTCTTCAAGTTTGAGGCTCTCATTCTTCAGCTGCTAAAAGTGTTGGGTTCTTATCTGAGCACTTGTCTGGAAGGGAAATTGGCCTCTGAGAGTTATCCTGTCCAAGTTCATGGCCCCTTCATGGGTAGGCTTCCTCCAATGACAGGTAAACGTTCGGCTATAAAGGTCACTAAGCCTTACTTCAAGCAAAGTAAAAATGAAGGACTATCCAAGCATTAGCCTTTCTCTAGGTTAGTGACTTAGGCCTTTGTTACATTTGCTTCTCAATTCAACACCTGCCTCCGCCCAATCCTGCTCCCTTGACCTCCATGTGGGTGTTAACCCAGTGGCATTTACCACAACCTCCTGCACACTCACCTTTGGCTGGCAACAGATTCTGAGGTCCCATCTGAGATAGTTTGCCAGAGGCCTTTACAGTAGGTGCATCTCTGTATTTAGATGCACATGTGTGTTTTTTTGAGTTGAATTTGAGAAAAGGCAAATGAATTAGCAGATTAAAATATGATTCAAAAGTACAGTTTGGGATTTTAAAATCTCGATATGAGCTTCAATTTTTTTTAAGATCTTAATTTCATTCCCAAGAGTTTTAAAAGGAAATATTGGAAAGGTGAAAATTTCAGAGGTCATAAATACATATAATGTGCTAGATGTATCATGATTTGGCACAGCTGAGATGAGGGGTAAATTGTCGATCATATATAGATACCTAAGCTATGGCATTTAGAAAATAATGGCACTATTTCAAAGTTCAAATTGGTAATATTTAATAATGTTCCACCACCTTTTAAAAAATAATTCAAGGAAATCATCATACTCCTTGAGACTTGTATACATATCTATTTCATATCTTAAAATACAATTCTATAGATACGTCCTGGTCTGATAACCTTGGTTTTCATAGAAATTCGGATAGTTTAAAAAAAAAGTGCTTTTTAGCCCAACATTAAGCAGGACATAAAGTGCTCTTAAATGTCAGAAATTAAAGTCAGCTGTAGGTGAAGGGAAGGTTCTGGTTTCCAGTGGTACATTTTGGTTAAAAAATTGGCTTTAAGATTCTTTAAAATGTGAAATATAGAGAAAGAGGGAATTATCAGGGGTGAAAAATTATTCTTTTAAGTCATAAATACTATATGAATGGCTACATTTTAAACAATCACTGGAAGCAGAGTATGTAAATAATTCAGTGGTTTTAAAGCAAGGTTTTATACGATATATGGTAGAATAATCTGGAATGATTTTTAAAATTCAGATTCTCCAGCTCCACTCCAGACATCTGCCACCCAGGATTCTAGACTGTCACTGGCACAGCAGATGATTCCTGGCATAACAGGATGATTAGCTTTAGGGCTGGAGGAGCCTTCAAAGGTAAATTCAGCTCAGACCCCTTGGATTGGATCTAAAGCACATGGGTATGTTACAATATACATTTTAAGTAATGGTCTGAGATCCTTTGAGTTGAAAAATATTTATGGATGACCTATTCTCTGCAAACCTCTGAGGAATATATAAAGTGGAATGCAAAGTAATTCTTGTCCTCTGTCATCCAATTTTCAACTAAATATGTAATTTAACCTTTTCCCAATTCTGTGTTTTTATTCTTCATGAAGGTTGCCTCCTGGAAATCATTAAATACAATGCTCATAAAGTTCCAACTAACAATTTTATTTATTGTTCTGAATTCATTTCCCAAATCTAAGATCAAGACCAGTGTGTTGAATGAGTTGGTAAATAGGACTATTACAGTTTACTTTGTTATCAAACCTGAAATCATATCAGACACATGACTTTAATATTCAAAATAAAAATTAGCATATTGACAATATATGTGCTAATGTTCTACATGCTGTATGCCACAATCCTATTGATAATATGAGGATGTCCCAGTACATTAATTGTTCCAGGGAATTCTTAGATCTATAAACTTAAGGCTTGAGCTCTAAGCAAGAAAAGCTCAAAGCTGGGGTCTGTCTGTCTTTCTGTAAATATGTTTATGTTCAGATATATTTATGTACATCTGTACATCTATAACCTAGTCCATATTTTAAGACTTTAGAAACTGGAATGATATCTGTCTAGAAGATACCTTAGGATTTTCTATTTAAATAAAGACTTGAAGGTTTCTCACAAATATAGCTTTTAATGAATTTAGATCTGTAAGGCATGTTTAGTTAGCTTGCTTCTAAGACTCAACAGTGCTGAAAAAATGCAAAAGAATTTTCTCAGTACTTGTAATTAAGTTATTAAGTTTGAAGCCACATTGAAGTAGAATAGCTAAGGGATTAAGTATAAATTTATCCTCCCTTCTAAGATCACATAGGTTTGCTCATCCCTGATTGTCTAAAATGAAATTATTTTATTGGGTTGATTACTATTTAATATAATGTGGGCGTTCTACACATTGCAGGAATTAAGGTGGGACTTAGTTTGGTTCTCTGAGAACAATTCTTTGTTGAACCCTATAACTTTGCTAAGAAGTCAGTCACAGAAAGTGAATGGGGTTCTTGGTTTGTCAATTTTGTAAATGCCATTGCCACTGGAGGACTTGGGTAGAACAGATGTCATGGTTTCCATAAGGTGAGAAATGGATTCATTCTTCCTACTCATAAGGCTACTGAGAAGTATGATGTACCTTCCAAAGATGGCATTCAATCCAAAATAATAAAACAAGAAAACATAAATGAATAACAGTATATCTAGAATGAAAGGCAATCCAAATAATGGAGTTATCAACATGGATACTACTATGATTATGCTTAATATGTTGAAGGAAATGAAGATTGAGAATATTGCCGGAAACCTAGGAATTACTTTTTAAAAATGAGTAGAGGAAAGGGACCAAGGGATAAGAGGAGGGGAGGAAAATGTGAAATACCAAGGAATGATATTGGCACATTATATTTTGTGCATGTATAAATATGTAATACAGATCACATTATTATGTACAACTATAATGCACCAATGAAAAAATAAAATGAAAATTCTAGAATTAAAAATTAGATAAATGAAGAACCAAACTCAATAGATAAGGTTAATAGTGGATACAAGCTACCAACAAAACTTTTTGTTATAGAAATCACTGGGTGACCTCCCTGAAACTCTAATCTCATGAAAATCTTGGCTTCCAAAAGGCAATTTCATTTGCTCTGGAGAGATCACCTCGCAGGGCTTTAAGTAAATAGGCATTTGTCATCCTTGAGTTGCTCTTCACTTGTAAGCACTTGTTCCTAAGTGCTCATTTTGGTTTGACATGTTTGATGCATGTCATGCCTCCTAATGCTTGAGTTGGAGGAGTCCTCTCTAAACAGTGAGCTCCTGGCGGTGAGACTGTATCTTTTTCTCTTTGCAACCAAAGACCAACAAAGTAACTAGGGGCAAAAAACAGTAACTGATATGAATATAAGAACTGGATTTGAAGAGTAGGGGGAAACTGTGTATGAGGGGGAAACTGGTTAATGAGAAACACTTGAAATAAATACACCTTAGGTAAAGGCTTGACTTCAGGAACACTTGGAAGAAAGTTGCTTCTCCTCTCAAGCATAGTTTACTGCCTGTGCTTCACTTAGCTCCTCACCACCACCCTCAGACTAGCTAGTCCTTCCTTCATATCAGAGATCCTCTTCTTGTTGCAGAAAGATATTGTGTTTGTTCTCACAAACATAGTATCTGGGGTTGGGGGAAATTTGGGAATCAATCTAACAAAAGAGGTAAAAGACTTCTACAGTGAAAACTTCAGAAAACTAAAGAAAGACATTGAAGAAGACCTTAGAAGACGGAAAGATCTCTCATGTTCTTGGAATGGCAGAATTAATAGTGTCAAAATGGACATACTACCAAAAGTTCTATACAGATTTAATGCAATCCCTATTAAATACAATTCCTCACATGTTTAGAGCAAGCTCAAATGGACCCACAGCTACATTTTATCCAGTGGGAAGGAAGTTGTAGGGACCACAATATATAACTGAAAAGTTACTCTTTAGTATTTTAGCCTTGAGTCAAGGTAACCAAAGACTAAATAAATAAATGATGCTATGTACCTTGTAGTGAGGTGGAAAATCAAGTCACTGAGCTATGTTCCCTTCAGATGCATACCCCTTCTCCAAACCTAAATGAATAGTGATGCCCTTGGGGAAGCTAGTATTCCTAAAAGAGTTCTGAAATGTTGTCAGAAAAAGTCAAGAGTTAGTAACAATCATCCCTGGCTCTAGAAGCCTGATCCTTACCTGTCACATTGTTTCTGATGTTCTTTCCCATGCAAAAGAGGTCATTGACTAAGTGGTTCTTAAGGAATTGGGGGATTTGATGTCTATATTACCATACCCCAGCCTCCTGGGGTTTTTGACATATTAAAGCTAGCAAAATAAATCAACTGTTTGCTGACTTGTGTGTTTAGGATAGGTTGGGTTGCATCTTGGATAGAATTACTTGTTGCAGAAGTGAAAGAGGAAGTGACTCTGACAATATCTGATTTTAACACACCGTGCCATAGGGTGAAACTAGCTTTTAACTCTTCAGAGAGAAAACAACTACCATCCTGCCATATAATACAGGATGGTAGTTGGGGAAAAACAACTACTGGGGAAAAACAAAAAACACTGTCAGTTCAAAGGAAATCCCTACTTTCTTAACTTTGTTTAAAAATAATCACCCTGATGCTAACAAGTGGGCTGCAGGGTAAAGTCACAGGCTCACGTTTTCACAGATCCTCTTTCCTTCATTCACTTCCCTTTGAGTTTCTAGGCAATGACATGGTGTAATCAAAGAGCAAACTTAGGATTTGTAAAGACTACAAAATTAATAAGAGGCAAAAAAAAAAAAAAAAAAAAAAAAAAAAAAAACCAAAAACCCAAATTTCTACTGCTTACCAAATAATCCTTCCTTAAGATTTATGAGATGCAGCAGATTTTTATCCCTACTCACCTTCTAAGTCTGTATTGTTCAAGTACAGAGAAGACTGGATCCTGATGTGTTTTGAAACTTAATTCGGGTGACATTTCTCTGCTCCTTTCTATGTTACTTGTTCTCACTCCACACTTCGATGCTAGTTTTCCATTTGGCAAATTTGTTGGAGGATTTGTCCAAGTAGCCTGAGCAGATCTAAATACAATAAGACATGGAATAAAAGGGATAACCTGGTAAAGATTGTGACTTTCAGATAGATAAAATAGTTTACTTTAGAAATAGCTGGTCACATGATGATAGGCTCCTTTAGAAAATACAGAAATCACTTATTATCTTCCCAACTCTTTGACCCTTCCACTTCCAAAATTGATATTTTAAAGAGATTGAAATCTAATGTAAAAACAGCTGATTTAAAATAGGAATGTGGTATGAAGGAAGTATCAAAGTACCATTCTGCTATGTTTCAAGGCTGATTAGTGTAATCAGCTGACCATGGCAGGGCTGGGGCCTAGGATATGTTTGAAACCCTTAATGCAGTGAGGCGAAGCAGGAACAGAATCTAGCTTGGCACAGCCTGATCTGGGGTTGGCTGTTTTTGCCATCACATGTATAAACAAGGCAGGCTTTGTGAAAGCTTCTTAATATCAGATCTTAATTTCAGATATTTTAATATCAGATCATTGGGAGATTTTTCTTATGGGGACCAAACTTCCAAACTCCAGACCGTACTTCTCAGAAGAGAGCAAATGTTTTTACCATCAGCTGGGGAACAAGCCAGTTCTCCAGGAGGAATAGGGGTATTATCGAGAGTATTAGATTAGGGTGAGTGGAAATCCTCATTTCTCTTAGTACAGACATCCATTGGGCTTAGATTCTAAAGATGGAGTAGTACCTGGAATGCTTGAAGTAGGGGTGGTCAAGCTACCTCTGGTGTCTTGGGTACAGGTGGCAAAGAAGGCGGGGGACCAACATGGTGTGGAGTGAGGATCCTGCTGGAGCTTGGTGGCTCTCATAAATGATTTCTCTGAATTCTTCCTTCCGTTACTCTGGAACAGTCAGGGAAGTCTGATCTCTGCTGTGTAATAAGAGTAAGACAAGACTTTTCCCCAAGGCTACACATGATGGTAGGAGGGAAGTCGCCACTAGAAGATGGCAGTGCCCACTGGAGCAGCTATGTCATGACAGTGAATGCCCTGGAGGAGTTGGGTTGGAGGGACTCCAGATTGGGAAGATATGATACTGTACCTAAGGAACCTCTCAGGAATAACCAGGCAACATTTTAAAGATGGCTATTTATAGCAGCAATGCTGGAAGGGGTTCAAGGGATAATGCCATGGTATGTAGCAGAGTCATGTTTCAGTAAGTACCTCACCTAAAATCATTAAAGCAATGGAGTACACAAAAAATAGGCAGATGAGCAGACCAGAACAGAGTTCACATATAAATTGATGTTTCATATATGATACGGGTGACTTACAATCAGTGTTGAAAATGAATTATTAAAGTCTTTTGGGACAATTGGGTAGCCACTTCAAAATTATTTTCCTGTGTTAATTCATATAAGAAATTCTGGAGGGAATCAAAATTGTAATATTAAAAAAAATGAAACTCATAAGAGTAATGGAGGAAAACAATAATTTGTTTATAAACTTGGGAGAAATACAATATTCAATATCTCTAAGGAAAGACTAATATATTTGTATGAATAAATTTTTAAAAGTTAGGAAACATTTTCAATAATTCTCTCTATATACGTGTGTGTGTGTGTGTGTGTGTGTGTATGAAAATGAAATGGGCCAGTATTTACAGAGTTTGTAAAAATAAAAAATTACACAAACTTTGAGTTTGAATCATATAAACATCAGATGTTAATACAGTGATATAATAAACATTAAAAAGCTTGATAATTTTGGTTTTAAAATGGTGGGAAACATAGTCTGTCAATTAGAAGACAATTTGGCAATACCTATAAATATTTAAATTCTTTGATCCAGCAGCAATTCCCCTGCCAAAAAAATATCCTATGGCTCTACCCACATAACCATTTCAAGGATGTTCAGTGTAATAATGGATGCAATAGGAGTCTCTAATCGGGCTCAATTGTCCATAAACAAATGGTTAAATAAATCATGCCATACCCATACAGAGATCTAAAAAGAATAAAGTCCAAGTTATTGAACAGATTTAGACTCAAAACAATGATGTGTATAGTTTGAAAATTAAAAAATATAAATACTTTTTTCCCCCAGAGGATATACCTGTTTAAGTTTGGATGAAAAGGACTGTTTGGCAGAGAGAATGGGGGAATATTGCTTTTCATTTTATACCATTCATCTACTTTAGTAATGAATATAATGCCTTCATATTAAGTGAAAACTAAAAAAATTAATAGGACAATATTATTCCTAAACAATGTAATAACACCCTACTTGAATGTAGTTGTTTAAAATGTAAGGAAGGCAACTTCAGGAATTCTAGAGTTACTGAGAAATCAACCAAAAAATATGCCAATGAAAGAAAATTATTTCAGGCCTAAGGGAAAAATGACACATTGATTTCACTTGGGAAAGAAATTATTCTGTATCAGAAGAATGCATTTTACCTGTTGCAAATATATCTTCACTTTCTCATGAAATTGAAATTGCAATTCATTCTTTAATATCTAGTTCAAATGCCACCATCTCTTTGGAACTTTCCAGATCCCTCAACCCTCCCTTCACGCACAGTCCTGCTATATATAGCTCTTTGTAAATGCCTCTATCACTTTGTAGTGAGGCTGTTTGTTCACTCACATGTCAACCCCAAACAGAATGTAAGGGCCCTCACAAAAGCTTTGCCACAGACTCAGTTCTCTTTTTTTCTTCTATGTTTGACAGACCAGATGTGTCCATTAAAAGTTCATGTTGAATGGGTAAATTAATGAATCCATCATTGAATTAATGACTGGAGGAAATAAGAGCTGTTGCTATTTTGGATTTTAGAAATTTCTTCTAATTGGATATGAAATTTGTGACTTGAAAATTAAAGACTATCTGTACATACTGTTCTCTCCTAACCAGTGTTCAATACCAATTTAACCAAACACTCTGCATGTGTTTTGCCAATGTAGAAAGAAAAAGTGCCTTGGAGTTGGAATGGTCACTGTAGAGAAATGGAAGCCCAACTTTTCTAACACCAAAGGAACAAAATCTTCTATTCACAAAGAAGATTTTGTTCTGTCCTTTTTGGGCCTATATTCTCCTAAGATAAATGCCAGGCTTTTTGCTTGATGGCATATGTAAAAGCTCAAACCAACATTTTCTTAAACAAAAACCCTGTTGAGGGGTCACTCTGCATCCACAAGAATAGTGTTTTGTTTTGAGGTTTCCTTAAGTATGGTGAGGGATATGTGTTAGCCTGAGAACTTCTCTTTGTAGTGACAGGGTGCTCACCATTTCTCTGTTCTAAAATATAAAATTCCTATTTTGACCCAGGCAAAATAGGAAACCAAATCCACATGATCCCTGTCTCATAATGCATCACAGCCACCCTAGACAATTTATAAAGCAACTGCGTTAAACAACAACAAAAAAAGTGCTAAGTGCTGAAAAGAAAAGTCTAGAGCGGGAGAACCTAACTCAGAAGATGCTTCTGGAAAGGAAATGGCATTTAATCTATAATTGAAAGGACAGACACAGACTAGCACAGTGAAATGGGATTTTCAGACTGAACAGAATCCTCTCCACGTTCTTTATAGTTCCCAAGAGCTCTGGTGTCAGAACCCTCAAAAGTTGAATTTCCTCATGGTCCTTTTCCAGCTCTGTCATAATAAGCATTATACTATTTCTTTGGGCTGCTATAAAAAATAAAAATTTAAAAAACCCCACAAACTTTGTGGCTTAACATAAGAGAAACTTGGGCTGGGTTGTGGCTCAGTGGTAGAGCACTCACCTAAGCATGTGCAAGGCCCTGGGTTCTATCCTCAGCACCACATAAAAATAAATAAATAAAATAAAAGCATTATATATATAAAACTTATTCTCTTATAGTTCTGAAATCCATAAAGTGAAATCAGGTGTTGGTAGGGCCATACTGTCCAAAGGTTAGAAGGAAGAATTCTTCCAGCTTTTGGTGGCTCTTGGCACTCCTTGACTTGTGCTAGCTTAACCCCAATCATCTTCTTCCTATGGTCTTTTCTGAGTCCTTCTCTGTGTTAAATCCCTTTCTCCTTTCCCTTATAAAGACAACTAACATTGGATTCACACCTAAATTCAAGATGATTTCATCATGAGGTCCTTACCCAATTATGTTGGTGAAAAAGTTCCTATTTTCAGATAAGTTCACGTTTTGAGTTCTGGGTCTATGCTACATTTGGAGTTCAAACTGCTACAACCTCCTTGAACTTCCATTTTCTATTAACAAATTGATTCAACTAATATTTATATTGTAGTACTTTCAAAATGAGTAGAGAAAATCTAAGTAGATAGCCTGATATAGTGCTGAGACACCATTACCATACCTATTTGCAAATGATAGGAAAATGCAGAGAATAGATACATTTTGAGTTTTATTTATCAGTAAAAAGTATATAGCTCAGGTTTTTTTGAAAAAATAAAAATTGTGATTTGGTGCCAAGGCCACTGACCTGGGAGTCAGGAGAATTGAGTTATGTTGTGAGATCTGGCATTAATTGTGTTATCTTGGCAAATTCATTTCTGGACTTGCTTCTGTTATCTTTAAAACAAGGGGTTTAAACATCCTTAAGCTCTAGAAACTGGCAGATTATGTGGCAAAGAGCTCACTCATTATCCTCTATCTCCATGAAAGATAAAAGACGACAAGCCTGAAGAGGTGTGATTCAAGGAAGATATGAAAATAAAGTAGATGCTAAGGCTTGGAGAATAACTACTGAGTAGACTTTGTCCTTGAAGTAGTGGAAGGAAGGGTGCTAAAATGGGTCAAGATGGGGCTGCTGGCGGTTTGGTATGGGTCAACTATTTCTCATGGTGAAATGTGCTCTTCATGGAGAACATTCCCCTCATCTATTATTACCAACCAATTCAGTAGTCTTTATACACTCTATTGAAGAAAGTAATTCCCATGTCGGCTTTGAGATCCTTCCTGTTCATGTGTACACACCTGCTTAACTGAAATGCTGCTTAAGTGTATCTGTGGTCATTCTTTACCCTGGTACTAAAAATCCTAATGAGCTAGGGTCAGTAACTTCTCCCAACCCGCTGCTTTAACTCCTTACTTATGAAAACACATAAACATGATTTTTAAAAGTTAAAAATACAATACAATGAAGAGCAAATCTCCTCCCCATTCTAGTACTACACACCAGAGGTAATCACTCTGGGTAATTGTATATATGGTGTTATATATATATATATATGTTATATATGTATGCTTACATTTAGTTGTAGATAGACATAATACTTTTATTTATTTTTATCTTATTTATTATAATCAAATAATCACTACCAGTCCTCTTCCCAATTGTCTCTAGATTTTTCAAGAAGTATCCACCAACGTCAAGTTACCTGACTTTCCTCACTTGCCTTTATATTTAAAATCCAGTTGGCTTTTGTTTTTGTATCCCTCTGAGAATTTGGTAGATTTTGCTATAGAGAAGCTTAAATCCAGTCTTTCTTCCTCCCTCTGTCTTCCATTCGAAGAGAATGGTGACTTTATTGTTGCTTAGATGACATTTTTTCCCAATCTGGGTCAATCTGCAGATTCTGGCCAAGCTCAAGAACAACTATATTTAAAAGAATATTTATAATATTAAAATTAGCATTTACTACATATTTAGCTTACTATTATATATAGTTAGATATCCGGGATTAGTTTTGGGGATTGGGGCTTGGAATATTTTTAATCTTTGTACTTTAGTGAAAGAATGTCTAAACTTGTAATGGATCTTCTCAATTGAGTTAACATTGGTCTATCAAAAAATCAGGAATAAATAGACATAAGAAGCTTAATTTTGGATAAATTTTCTGACTTTTGCTTTTCTGTATGTTTTGAAGAAGATTATCACAAAGGGGGAATACATTTTGAATATTTAAAAAGTGGATATGGTTTTTT